GCAGCCTAACAGTCAACAAAAGAGCAGACACTCCTATCTCTATAATCCACATCCAGCTCCACCTCAAATAGGCACGCTTTTAGGAAGCTGTCAGACTTCACATTCTGTCACCACATGGCCCAGCCCTACTATCATAAGTTTTCCAGAAGATGCAGATCTGTTTTGAGAACGTTCAACTGTTGGAGCTGGCATGTTTTTCCTTAGAGCTTGCCATTGGTATAAGCCAAGGTCCATAAGGAACTAAATCTTGCCCAATGGCACTGCCCTCACCAGCCTATTTGCTTGTTCTTGGAAAAGGACCAGCTCCCAATAGTGGCATCACCTGATCTTATCCTGCTCTTCTGTCTGATGCCCAACTTTCAGCTAGGAAGCCCCTTCTGCCTCCCTGACTCAGGGTTCTTCCAAGTTGTGAGGAACTGTCTGCATGTGTAGCCTTTTGGAAAACTTGTCTCCAAATTCTCTACATGATTTGACAGACCCTGTAAGATGATATCAGTAATAGCCAATCAGTTGTTTAATTTCTACAGTAATAAAAATTTACAATTAAATTGTTCTCATCCTTTTGAAGCACCATTCTCTTAGACTTTTGCCAGTCTGGAAAGCTCTGGAGATAAGCATTGTTACTAAACTAGATATGATATTCATAGTCTCATAACTGATAAACTAATCTCATTTTACCATACATTTATAATCTTTTCAATGCATATAAATACCTTCAGGAATGGTCTAAAGCAGATGAAGCCAATTTTTTTTCAGTGATGCCCAGTGACAGGACCAGAAGCACTGGGCAAAAACTGAAACACAAGGTTCCTTCTGAACATTAGGAACAAATTTTTCACTGCGAGGGTGATCAAGCACTGGCATGGGTGGCCCAGAGAATTTGTGGACTCTCCATCCTTGACCATGCAGACAAGACCAGCTTGAGCAGGGTAGTTGGACCAAGTGACCTCCAGAGGTGCCTTTCAACCTAAACCACCCTGTGATTATTGGCCAGTTAACTGACATTCTATCACTCTCTTAGCAAACTATTTATTTTCTAGGTAGGTGATTGTTCAGATTATAAAAATTTATTGAAGAGCTTGTTTTCCTGCAGAAGAAACCAGAAGTTTAGTTATTTTTTTCAAGAACAAGAGCAAAAATAAACACCTTCAGACATAATTTCTCAAGATAGATCCAAGGTTTTCTCTTCTATGTCTAGCCATACCTATGGGATGCCTAATTCAGATGAAGCCAAGATATTTACCATAACTTAACTTCCAAATATTAACTTTCTAGCGTATTCAATGCCTATGGGCATAGTGTATTGAGTGCAATCAAGATTTGATCAAACATCATTTTGACTTCCTGTTTCTCTATCAAGAACAGAACAGAGGGCTTATCCAGAAGAGCTTTGTCAAAAGATTTGGTATAATGGTATAGATTTAAAATAGAAATATTTTATCACCCCTTTGAATGCCACAATACTGTACCCACGTTTTTTCCCAGTCTTTTCTCCTTTGTGCTCTAGAACTGCATTTGAGGAAACCTTCTGTGGGCACCGTTTCTGATAGTGACCAACTGCCAGGTGGCAGTAACAGAGTGTCCATGTCCATGCTAGCAGTTTCATATGATGTTCACATAACTCCTCAGGGGGCAGGAGGTAAAACTATAATTCATATGCCTCAATCAAGGATCACTTGCTCTTTTCCAGAACTTTTTCAGACTCTTCTGGCACAACTTGAACTGTGGCACTAGGATATTCCCTTGATTAAATGCTTCTGGGGAATGAGGTGGGGAGTAATGAGAACAGTGATCACATAACTGCTTCTTTGAGCAATTTTAACATCGAAAATCATAACCATGATTTGCACCTGCAATGGGTAATGAACTGCCTTCTTCTGAGGAGTAAGAGAAAACCTGCTTTGTCCCCAGTAGGACGGCACTTTCTGGTATCACACACAGCTAGAAGGGGAAAGCCATCTGTTTGGGTATGAGGGAGATGGCAGGGCACCTTTCTGTAGATAAAATTTCCAGCCATATCTGTTTCAGACACTTGGGAAGTTTACCATGACATAAAAGCTGTGAGATGTGACTGCACAGTGAGTGACTTTTGCACCTTGCAAATAGCACAGAACAGCTTTTATTCTAGTGAGACTTTCGTCTACTGGAAAGGCTAATGTTGATTTCTGCATTTGCACTGATGGAAAATGACAGTTCTGACATTTTCTCAGACACACAACACCTCTGCAGAACCGGTGCTAACAAAGAAATGTGCCACAATTGTTAACACTTCCAACAAACTGGAAATTCAAACACAATGTTCTTCACAGTTTAATTGCAGAACACTCAGTTGTCTTTAAGCTCAGATCTGCAACAGGGCATGTTTTACGGGATCTTGAGGTGTGGGGATATCTTATATGGACACAGGAACACAACACACAAGACAATCCCACTGTTGCCAGGAGCTGGCTACAGGTTCAAGAGGAGTTTCCATTTAAAAGCACAGTAATGGGAAGTTTTGGCCTACAGAGGAAGAAAGAAGAAAGAAATGGAGATAGTAAGGACAGTGGCTGCATTTTCTACTGCATTCTGGATTAATGTGATAGAAAGTCTGAGCATGCAAGGGAAGTTCCATAAACACTCCACACATTCAGATAAGGATTTACTTGATTTTCCAGTTTGTTGTAAGCACAAGCACCTGTGAGGCCTTTCTTTATCAGAGCCAGTCCTACGTTGGCATGTTAGACCAATGAAAATCTCAGAACTGCTGCAATAATCAGCACACAGGGCCAGCCTCAGCACACCTGCGTAATACAGAAAAGGTCTTGATCCTGTGTGAGCTAGTCAGTGTTACTGACAAGGAGTAGACAATGTTAGTGCCAATAGCTCAGAGAGAGAGCAGGGCTTGAAATTGGGACCTGACATTTGCCTCACGTGACACTGTTAAGCTCTGGGAATAAGAATAAACCTGAACTATGTATCAGTTTATGTGACAACAATGATTTTCATAACAAAGGAAACTATAAAAATCCTGAATAAACTATTTGATGGTGCTCCTGGCAGGTTGAACTAAGAGAAGACTGGTAGGCAAAAGGAATGGGGTGGGCTGATCCATATCTATCTCTACGGTATTTTGGTCAGACTCACGTGATTCAATCCTGCAAGTCAATGATCAACTACGTGCAAACCACATATTTATTTGCACTTAATACCAAAATAAGCCTGCACCCTTGCAGGTATGGCTGAACTCTGTTGAACAGCTAGATACTGTCCTTTGTTTTATTTCAATGCCATCTCAGAGCTTTAGTTTGAAGTCTTTGATATCTCTGATGTGATCCCATTTGGCCATTGCCTTTTATCTCCCTAAGCACACATCATTGTTTCTGCCTCAAGTCTGGTCTTTCTCAAACAGCAAGTAGATCAAGGACCTTTGCCTGGCACCAGATTTAAAAAATAAAAATATGAAATAAAATAAAGAAAGCAGGAATAGAAAAAAAGTATAGTCTTGCTAAGTGGGCAGGCTGACTTCTGTAACAGATATGGTGGCTGCCAGACAGTTAACATCCATGTCCTACCTGTACAGAACAGGAAGGAGGTTTAGTGCCAAAAAGCTTGGGAAGGCAGGTGGAGACCTGCAGGAAAAAATCCAGAGCACAAACTGTAACTACAGGGTTATTACAGTGATGGGGCTACCCCTGGAGGTAAAATGACTGATGTCACCAACAGACTGAAAACACGGCAGCAATCTGCACTGCTGTACGGAATCGAGCCGTGTGAAGACAGGTCTCTTACCAGGATGCAGCCTCATTTACAGTGAGATATAAACAAGCCTTTGACTTGATACCTTTTTTTTGTATTCAACATCATGCAATCCTATTTAAATAAGTTTAACTTGACATGCACCATGATACCAGTCCATGCATGTAGAGAAACCAAACTCGGCCTGTGTAAACCAAATATACTGCGCATGTCATATTCCCTGGTGACAACATATTAGACAGAACATCGTGTTGAGAAGAACTTAATTACATAACTATTAAACTTTGACACGCAAAACAGACAGAAACAATCATACTCCCATCACCACTTTGTGTGTGGGATTCAGTTACATCCACATAGTCCAGAGCCAGGATGAGTTTGGCCTGATTTTCTGCATGACAGTAGTGAATAAATTTTTTCTTAATTCAGTAAAAATATTGTTTGGGTCAGTTACTGCTGATGTGGAGGTGTTCCTAGGATAAGGTGATACCTGTGCAGAGGCTACAGGTGCAAGGTACAAGGCAGCAGTGACAACACCTGTAAATGTCAAAGCAGAGGTGTAAAGTGTGTGCTATCAGTGTCACCGACAGGCTACATGGCTTTCCACCACAAACAGGATAGCTCAGCTGGAGAGAAATAAAATAAATGTAAAACTGGGCTATTATGCTTAACTACTAAAAGAATTACCTGGTTATTTCTCATCATTGTCTGGACAGCAAGAGACATGGTGCATAGTGAACTGTGTGAGTGTTGAAAGGTAAAACACAGGTTACTAGTGGAAGACTTTGCAGAAAGTAAATTGAGACCTTGGCTGTATCTCAGCTGAGATGTAGATGAAATTACACTGTACATGGAAATTGTCTTCTTAAAAAGAGCCACCATGGGGAGGGGGGGGGATCGGGGGGAAGAAAAAGGATAGCCTGTTATTGCCAGGCAGCTTTTTATTTTACAGCTTTGTCAGGCCTGTAGGTTGTTATATCCTAAAGAGGTACATTATATTGTATGTAGGATATATATCCTAAAGATACAAAATAAAGATTCATGGTATAATGCTCTCATTAGACCAAGAAATGTTAAATTTTGAATGTGAGATTTAATGTCAGGCAGTCCTGAGGCAGTAATTTTTAATGGTTCAGGTAGTTTTAAGAGCTAGGTCTTCAGGGCAAATTAATGTTTTTCATCTCTAAGAGGTTCACAAATGATGGCACTATCAACGTAAGCTTTCAGCCCTGCACAATCAAATATTTAAAGGTAATTGCACA